CAATCAGCCACTTCTCCCTTTTGACTTCTACCTTGACCCTGAGCTACTGGAAGGGAAGCAGCTTGCTCAGAGCGTCAGGACAGCTGTGGGGGGGAAAGCTAGAGGATGAGTTAAGGAAGTTCAACAGTGTGGGAGCGACATAGCCAAGCACCACAGGTCAGACAGCAGCCCCCTCGCTCTGGGGGAGAGAGTTTAGTGGTGAGGAGAACATTCTCAGGTCAGTGGTTTGGATTCCAAGACACAGAACTGAATGCAAAATGTTCTGCCCAAACTTTCAATTGAGAAAACGTGTATTTGCACTTCAAAGATGCCTTAGAGGCAAGTGGGCCCCATGAGCTGCGGTGAACATATTCCCAAGAGCTGGAAGCCACATTGATAGGGTGAGATTGGATTATGCAGGTGCTCCCAGCTTTCACAAAGCAGGAAACACCACAAATGTTTGGAACCAGCTTGGGCTTGGACTGACTTACCCGTAAAAAAAAAAAAAAAAAAAAAAAAAACTGTTGCGGTCGAATCAATTCCAGCTCATAGCGACCCTTTAGGGCAGAGTAGAACTGCCCCACAGAGTTTCCAAGGAGCAGCTGGTAGATTCAAACTGCTAACCGTTTGGTTAGCAGCCGTAGGTCTTAACCACTACGCCGCCACGCAGAGGTGTGATACTGGGCGATGAATGAATCCCTCAGGTTCTTCATCTGTGAAATGGAGGTAATAGCACTATTTACCTCATAAATTCAGGTAAGACCTAAATAACATGATGTACCTAAAACACTTCGCACCATTCCCATCACATCCTACTTAATAAATATTAGCCTTAGTAGTCTTTCTTATGAATAGAATTCATTATTATGAATTAGAACTTTCTAGAATGTTATTTTTTGTAATGAGTTTGTGCTTTAATTTCAGTCCTTTCAACCAGTCGCAAGAAGGTTCAGAGAGTAATCTTTTTATCGTGGTATAGGTAGAATCGATCAACATACTATTATATATGTATTGCAAAACCCAAATTTCAGAAATAAATCATATGTCAAAAATACTAAGAGAATATAACTACTCATATAGAGGTCCTTTGTGTAAAGGTTAAGGGCAATGACTTTGGAGTCAGATAGACCTGAGATCAAATCCAGGCTCTGCCATTTACTAGCCTCTCCCTCTTAATCTGGGGCCCTGGTGGCGCAGTGGTTGTTTGGCTGCTAACCAAAAGATCAGCAGTTCGAATCCACCAGCCACTCCTAGGAAACCCTACGGAGCAGTTCTACTCTGTCCTAAAGGGTCACTATGAGTCGATCAACTCGACAGCAGTGAGTGTAGTTTTTGATTTGACTTCTCAATCTGTAAGTGTGCTGTTGCGTGAATATTTACTGAAGGCCGCTCTATACAAGGCATTGTTCAAGTAAAGTAGCACCTCCAGGACCCAGTAAATGGTGTCGTTGTTGGGTGCTGTCGAGTCAACTCCAACTCATAGCAACCCCATGTGGCATAGTAGAACTGCCCCATAGGGTTTCCTAGGCTGTAACTTTTATGGAAGCAGATCACCAGGGTTTTCTCCCACGGAGCTGCTGGGTGGGTTTGAACAGCTGACCTTTCAGTTAGCAGCTGAGCGCTTACCCATAGTGCCACCAGGGCTCCTCAGCTGCTGCTGTTTATTAAACACCCCTGTGCTGGCACTGAGGCAGCAATGGATGGGACATGGTCTCTGCCCTCATGGGCTCACAGTCCTGAAGAGAAGACAGACGGGTGGACAGACGATGACAGCACAGGGTCATAACTGCTCTCTGCACGAGAGGCAAACGCAGGGTGTTGGAAGGGGCAAACCCAGCCTGAGCGCAGGAGGAGAATCCAGGAGGTCTTCCCAGAGGAGGCAGTACTTGAATTCGCCAGGCAAAGTGGGTCAGGCAAAGCACTTGGGCTCCCCTTGCGCCTTTCTTCAGCTACCTCTGTGGCTGGTGAGAAGTCAGCTTTGTGAAATCTATGGTTTTCTATTCCCATGTTGACGTGACGGGGTTGCCGTGAGTCGTAATCCACTCGACAGCAACAGGTTTTTTTAGTTGATGCCATTACTGCAGCTCGGGTGAAAATGCCCTTTGTAATAATTGGAGGCTTTCAAAAGCCAGTTAAATGGATTTAAGCTGCTTCAGCTCTCCTTCCTCAGAAAACGTGGTAACATCATTAGCTAGCCGCGATCAATCATGGCTCCCTCTCACCTCAGGATTGGCTTGTTCAACACAGCGATTAACTGCATGTACAATACAGCCTTCCTCTGCCGGGATCTCTGAGACTTCTTAGGACTGATGCCTTCCCCTGAGAGTTTAGGGGGAGAGAAGGGCTTGGGAATGGCTATTTGTGGTGCTTTGTGAGGGTGGGGCAGCAGCAGGAGTGACCCTGACAAGTTGCTCTCCAGGCAGCTGCGCTCAGTCCTCGCTGAGTTCCCCCGTGAGCATGTCATCACTGTCACCGCCAGGTGGTGCTGTTGTCCACCACGAGGCAAACTCTCCAGCCGAGCGAAGGAACTCAACACTGCCGATTACTTCATCTGAAGACCTTTTCTTCATAAAGCGTGCCTAGTAAATATTGTATCTTTGTAGCCTCCTATAATCGTCAAGTTTATAAATTGTAAAGATCGAAAGGACCGCGTGGAAAAACGCAGAATAGAAAGATAGAGTGCTTCATGTTAAAAAAAAAAAAAAAAAGCATTGAAAAGAATGGTTTTCTGCAATAACAGAGTCTCTAGGCAAGGCAATAGGTAACCCGCTCGGCTGCTAACTGAAAGGTCGGAGGTTCGAGTCCACCCAGAGGCACCTTGGCAGAAAAGCCTGCCTATCTACTTCAGAAAAATTAGTCCTTGAAAACCCTATGGAACACAGGTCTCCCCTGACATGCGTGGAGTCACCAGGATCGTAGCTGATTTGACGGCAACTGGTTTCGTGCAATAATACATAAGGTGCCTTATCTGAGTGAACTCTGACAACAATGGTGAGGTGGTGCTCACTCAGCCCGTTTTATAGATGAAGAAACTGATTCTAAGGAAGGTTCAGTAGTGTGTACAAGGAATACACATTCAGATGAACCTGAATCCAAAACACCGCGGTTTCCATTAGACCACACTGTGGAGGTTAAGTAAAACTTAGTTGGCCCTGTGTCCACAAGTTCCTCATCTGCGGATCCAACCAACCACGATGGTTTATTTGAGCATAGTTTGCTTCTTCTCTTGTTTGCTCGCTACTTGTGTTGTGTGCACCCTTTTTTTTCTTCATTATTCCATAAACAATGCATTATAATAACTATTTACATAGCATTTACATTGTATTAGGTATTATAAGTAGTATAGAGATGATTTAAAGTATAGGGGAGGATGTGCATAGGTTAAACGCAAATACTACGTTATTTTACATAGGGAGCATCCTCAGATTTTGGTATCTATGGGTCCTGGAATCAATTCCCTGCGGATACTGAAGGATGAGTGTAATAACAATACTGGAACTAATTGAGGGCTTACTGTATGCTAGGCAGTAAGCATTTTACCCATATTAACTCATTTAATTCTCACAATGACCCTTGTCATAGGTAAATAATGTTATTTCCATTTTAAAGACACAGTGTCTTTCCACAAGGCGACACAGCTAAGGAGAGGCTGAGCTGGGCTGGAATCCAGTCTGGCTCCAGAATCTGTGCTCTTACTGAAAGGTGAATCCAGGCTATCATCAATGTTTTATTTTTAAATCAAGAGCAAAATGCTCCATCCTTCCTTCCTTCTTTCTGCTCTGTTAAAGCCCAGAGCATCTCCCATCATTTCAAAGAATTGTCAGAGTCTTCATACGGACTATATTTAAGTAAATGTGTACTGACGCATGGAGAATTGATCAGAAACAGGCGTCATCACAGAGATCTGAAAATGCAAGGTGGGTGCTAACTCAGCACCCAGGTGAACGTTTGCCACTGAGGCCCTGAAAGGCTGGAAGTATAACAGAAGAGGGAGAGACGAATTTGTAGTTTTAAGAACATGAGAAGGAATTTTGTTAATCCATAGGATTTCACCTACTTTGCTCTCGTGTTTGTCTCACAGATAACCTACGTCATATTTCTCCTTCAAGGCACAATGCCCTTTATATTGCAGTAGACAGATGACTCGCCTAATTCAAAGTTGACGTACAATAGGTATGAAGGCAGCAGATTGCTTCCATTTAAAGAGAATTAATAAAATATTTTTGCAGGTAGAATCCCTACATGTGAACAAAAGTACAGTTGAGTCAAATTCACAATTTGACTAAAATGAGGCCTTAACTACATACCATAATTGTACTTGACAGACTTCAAATGGTTGCTAGACTTGACAAGTAATTTGTCTAAAGTCGAAATGGCCCTTAATGACAGCAGCTAGCAAAAAAGTCGTGAACATTTGTGAAATTCTGCTGCTGGTCCCACCATAGATTGTGAACTTACCCACCTCTCGTTCTGCTCACAAAAATTGTTCACCACTTACCAGCTGTGTGCCCTGGGAGCAAGTCACTTAAACTCTCTGTGCCTCAATTTCCTCTTACGTAAAATATAAGAAAAGAGCCATACAGTTTCTGTGAGGAATAAATGAGCTAATGCGTGGCAAGTGTTTAAAACAGGGTAGGGCATGTAGAATGTACTCAATAAAAATGCTAGGTCTTACTTTTTAAATTCTTTTTACAAGGTATTGTCTCATGGGGAGTCCCTGGGTGGTGCAAATGGTTAATGCGCTCGGCTCCTAACCGAAAGGGTGGAGGTTCGAGTCCACCCAGAGGCACCTAAGAAGGAAGACCTGGTGATCTATTTCTGAAAAATCATCATTGAAAGAAAACATGGGATCGCCATGAGTCAGAATTGGCTCAACGGCAACCGATTACTGGTTATTTTCTCATGGAGCTTATGTTTTAGATGGAAAGGAAGTATTGCACAAGAAAAGTTATCATAGTGACTCTCTAGAATATTGCTTATTTTTTTACAAATGTCCCCTTTTGCCCGCCTGTCACCGGCAGGGATTACCTCGGAGATAACTCTTTATGGAGCAAATGCCAAGAGCCCGCTGATGTGGTTCCCTGGAATCTGACCCTCTTCTCCATCCTGCTGGTCGTGGGGGGAATCCAGGTGATCCTCTGTGCCATCCAGGTGGTCAACGGCCTTCTAGGGACGCTCTGTGGGGACTGCCAGTGCTGCTGTGGGGTAAGTGGAGATCCTCGTCGCTTCTCAGCACGTTGACGGCCAGGTCAGGCCGTCAGCACCCAGGGGCTGGGACTGTGGCTACCTGCAGACACCAGGCAAGGGCTGGCGATCAGGCAGCCCACTCCATCAGCTCATGGAAACAGCCATATGACACTGCTGAAACCCACAAATTTTGCTCTTTGTGCCACGTTATCATATCATATGAAGTTGATCAAAATTATCGGCCTCACACCCAGTTGGCTGTTGTCCTGGAAAACAAAGGATTCACAGACATACATATAGAAATTCGCAATGATATTTGTGTGAAGATCCACAGAAGGGGATCACTTGCCATGTGGGCATATTGTCAGCAATAACACATCAAGGTCTGACCTGAATGCTGTTTCCTGAATCAATCTAGGCAATGGGTTAAAGTTACCGAGTGACATGAGGAACCTACCTCAGGATATTTTCTTTTCCCTGGAAAATTTCCTCAAGTGAATAGAACATACTAAGGCAAAACCAACATTTTGATGAGATTTCTGGTATGTAAAAGAGAGAATCGGTTCTTACGTGAGAAAAGAAAAAAAAAGTAGTTACTCAGGATGTAATTTCCAAATATGATTGTAAAATATCGACAACAACAATATTAAAAAATAAAAATAAACCAGTGAGCAATAAGACAATCCAATTATTTCAACTAATGGCCAAATCAGGTCAGGCAATTATTCACACACACCACCAAGTTATTAAAAGGCACAGATTAGTGTATGAAAAAAAAACCTCAAACCAAACTTGAGAGTTCCCTAATTGAGAAATTGCGTAAATAGATGTACATAAAGGTCTATCCACTTAATGTAATATTATGCCAAAATTTTAAATGATGCAAACCATTTCATTTAAATTTCTAATAAGCATTGTATTTATATAGTTGAAAAATTAAATGTGTGTATGTGTATAAAAAGAGTTTCTTATTCTTTTTATTTCCTCCACCTTAAAGGGATTTTTTTTTTTTTAAGACTGTAATAGTATTGGGAAGGCTTATGAGATAGTATTATTTGAAGAGTAGGATACAAGAATTGTATACATAGTATGTGATGAGGGTTGGCTGCCATTTAGTCATATACAATTACATGAGTAAGAAAAAAAAACACAACAGAAAAAAGATCTAAAGGAAGTCATACCAAAATGTTGAATGATAGTTGTTTCTGGGTAAAAAGGACTTCTACATCTTTTCTTTCTTCTAACCTACATTATTAAAAAATTAATTATCATATATTACTTTTAAAATAGAAAACATATAAATAAAAAGCCCCCAAAAAATCAACTGTAAATGCATTTCTCACAAATAAATTTCACTGCCTATTGAGTTTTTATTCTATAAGCTTTCAATTTTATATTGTTTTATTAATTTTTTTTTAATATTTAAACACAATTGAGAGGAAAGAAAGCTCATCTGCCAAAATTATGTTTACAATAAACCAAAAACCAAACCCACTGCCATCGAGTCAGTTCCGACTCATAGCGGACCTATAGGACAGAGTAGAACTGCCCGGTAGGATTTCCAAGGAGCGGCTGGTGGAGTCCAATTACTGACCTGTTGGTTAGCAGCCGAGCTGTTAACCACTGTGCCACTTAGGGCTCCTATTTTTACCGTAGCAGTTATGAATATTGAGCATTTAAATCTTGTCATTCATCGAAAATGAATTCATGTTTGCAAAATAAGCTACATCATTTCAAACCCTGGTATTTCTTTTTTTGTTTCAGGGTGAATTATGTTAGCAAGATTTATTGAAAATGTGACTGTTCTTTGAATAGATGACAGTAGTTTACTGAATCTGAGGATTATCTGTCCATTTAAAAACACACCCATGGGGGACAGGACTTTAACTCTTTTCAGTGAGTTTCATGTATTCTAACATCACGTTTTGGCGATCTTAACTACTGAATCACTTGATAGTCAAAAGGCAGTGGATGGATTCCACAGTTGTCAGCACAGGGCCACTGGAGAATCCCAGAGGGTAAACGTATACGTGCAGAATTATTCTTCCTTCCTTGCTCCCTCGCTCCCTCCCTCCTTCCCTCTTTCCCTCCTTCCTTCTTTCCTTCCTTTCTCTCTCTCCCTCGCCCCTTCCTTTTCTTCTTTCCTAGCTTTTCATTTTGGAGACTTCAAACCTACATAAAAGTTGAAGTAACAGTGCAGTGAACACCTGTATACTCTAACCTAGATCCATAGAATGTTAATATTTTGCTCCCACCCCCCACCCCTCTCTCTGAGCTACTGGAAGGTACTTTTCAGGCATCCTGAAACTTTACTCCTAACTGCTTCAGCGCGCGTGAGCGCTGCATTTTTAAAAAAAATCAGTCTGCTGAGGATCCCTTTCTTGCCTCTTGTACAGCTGGGCAGCATTCCTTCCCCAGTAGGACGTTATGGAAAGACTTGGGCTCTCAGCCTAGTTCCACAGCTTACTAGCTGAGTGACCCAAGCAAGCTGCCTAACTTCTCAGAGTCTCAGTTACCCCAGCTGCCTCTTGCCTATCTCCCAGAGAGAGTGCCAATCAGCATCCATTTGTTTAGGCAACAAGTATTTATTGATCGCTTCCTTGTGCCTGGCACAGTCTTTAAATGAGGTAATAGATGGGAATGTACTTTAAAATTCAAGATGTGAGACTTGGTTTGAATGCCAGCTATGTGGTCTTGACCAGGTCAGATGCCCTCAGCTGTTTCTTTGTCTGTAAAATGTGGTTATGAATACCCGCCTCCTAAAGTTGCTGACTGAGTGCTTAAGACAAAGTGATGAATATGCATCCATTTCAACAATCAGAAAGCTCAGTAAATGGTGCCCATTGCCGTCAAGTCAATTCTGACTCATAGTGACTCCATGGGACACAGTAGAACTGCCCCATAGGGTTTCCAAGGAGCACCTGGTGGATTCGAACTGCTGACCTTTTGGTTAACAAATGTAGTTCTTAACCACTATACCACCAGGGTTTCCCAGTAAATGGTAGTGTTTATTATTTACTAAGAGTGTGCAGATCAGCAAGGCAGCATAGCTTCCAGGAGGAGCACGATCCCTGAGATCAGTCAACCCTCCCGAGTTCAAATCTTGGCCCCTCTACATACTTGCTATGATTGTAGATGTATCACTTAATATCTTCATGCCTCTTATCAAAATTATTTTTAATAATAAATGATGCAAAACAAAATGAAGTTTCAACTCCTGTCTTGGTTATCTAGTGCTGCTGTAACAGAAATATCACAAGTGGTTACCTTTAACAAAGAGAAATCCATTCTCTTACAGTTTAAGAGGCTACAAGTCCATATTCAGGGTGCTATCTCCAGGGGAAGGCTTTCCCTCTCTCTCTGTCAGCTCTGGGAGAATGTCCTTGTCATCAATCTTCCCCTGGTCTAGGAGCTTCTCAACACAGTGACCCAGGACCCAAAGAATGCACTCTGCTCCTGGCACTACTTTCTTGATTGTATGAGGTCCTTCCTTCTCTCTGCTTGCTTCTCTCTTTTATATCTCAGAAGAGATTGACTCAAGACACAACCTAATCTTCTAGATTGAGTCTTGCCTCATTAACATAACTGCCGCTAATCCTATCTCATTGACATCAGAGAGGTAGGATTTACAACACATAGGAAAATCACATCAGATGACAAAATGGCGGACAATCACACAATACTGGGAAGCATGGCATAGGCAAGTTAAAACACATTTTTGGGGAACACAATTCAATCCATAACAACTCCTTTAATATAAATACAGGGAAGTGACCAGATGATTGAACCTCTGAAAAATAAAATCAGAAAAGCAGAGAAAACATTCAGAAAGTAATCAATACGGGGCAAGGGGAATGAGGAGGAAAACACGGTGATGGACCGGGGACGAAAGAGGGGACAAGAAAGCAAAAAAAACACACCAAAAAACGAATGACGTCATAATTATTATTTTCTTTTCTTTCACCTTCTAGGGAGATGGACCAGTTTAAACCTCTCTGATGAGCTGCTTTAACTGTCCGACATGTGGAAAACACTATTCTTAGTCTTCTTTTCTGGGGCTGTCGATTCCTGCCTTCTTCCCAACGGACAAAGCTGAGCGAGAGCAGGGTTCTTTCTTCTCCTTCTCAGCCCATTTTGCTCACGTTGGAATTTCATATTGTTTTTCAATAAAAAATAGTTTGACCGCTTAGATTTATACATCTTTCAAATTACCTTCACTTTAGGACTTAAAGCAGGTTCACAGTCAATTTTTCATAATTTGTCTTTAAAATTGTGAAATGTGTAAAGTCACACACATGGCCATGCTGCTTCTTTGTGTATAGAGATGTTTATATCATCTGAAAGTTTCCCATAACTCAAAGAATAAAGCACACAAAAAGTGTGATGCTAAGAACAATTTTTGCTTTCAAGATTTTGGGGAAGAAAGAACTATTTATGTATCATAATTAATTTTTATTTGATGTTTTTATTGCTAGTTTGTTTGAGTTACTTGCAACTAGTCTTTTGAGCCTGCCTTCATTTGCCAGGATTTCTTTCCTTCTGAACGTTAAATTAAAATCAGAATTCCAAGATCATATGATAAATATTGTGTGTGTTTTGTGAGGGAGGGGCAAAAAGATTGAATGAATAACACCCTCTTTCCATTTTTTCTACAAATGCTTCCTTTGCACGAACAAAAAAAAAAAATGATTTTTAAAAAGTTGATTTGGGCAATAATTTTGTCAGCCTCTCTATTGCCTGTTATTATGGTAATCCCCCACCCCCGCCAAAAAAAAAAAGCATCACCATTGAGTCAATTCTGACTATGAGTAGAACAGAGTAGAACTGCCCCATAGGGTTTCCAAGGAGTGGCTGGTAGATTCAAACTGCCTACCTTTTGGTTAGCAGCCAAGCTCTTAACCACTGCACCACCAGGGCCCCATTATTAATTTTATATATTATATTATGACATTAACTTTGATTTTATGAGTTAGACACTAATGTGGAGTCAAATCCATCTTATGGGTTTGGGATCAAATTCCAACTCTACCAGTAAACCAAAAACAAAAACCCATTGCCACTGGGTCACAATTATGACTCACAGTAACTCTATCCTACAGCTTGGTAATCCTGGAGAAGTTACATTCTAAGTCTCAGTGTCTTCATCCATAAAAGGACTGTTGAAAGACAGTCAATCATCCAAGTAATCCTGAAGTCACTCAAGGTGGAATAAGGAGGCCTGTGGGATTGTCAGCATAACAGACACGTCAAAACGCGGATCACAGAGAGTATTACGAGCCAGAGTCTCACTTTTCTATCAGCCAGGCTGGTAGGCTGCACTATTTGAGTTAGTGTCATGGATTGAATCATGTCCCCCCAAAAATGTGTATCGGTTTGGCTGGGCCATGATTCCTGGTATTGTGTGGTTTTCCTATATGTTGTAAATCCTGCCTCTAAGATGTTAATGAGGGAGGATGGGGGCAGCTGTGTTAGTAAGGCAGGATGTAGTCTACAAGATTGGATTGTATCCTGAGGCAATGTCTTGAGATAAAAAAGACAGAAGAGAGCAGAGAGACAGGGGGACCTCATACCGTCAAGAAAGCAGTGCCGGGAGCAGAGTGCGTCCTTTGGACAGGAGTCCCTGCGCTGAGAAGCTCCTAGTCCGGGGAGACACTGATGAGAAGGCCAAGAGGAGAGGAAGCCTTCCCCTGGAGCTGATGCCCTGAATTTGGACTTCAAGCCTACTTTAACTGTGAGGAAACAAACTTCTCTTCGTTAAAACCATCCACTTGTGGTATTTCTGTTACAGCAGCACTAGACGACTAAGACAGTTAGGCACACTGAAAGCTTAGTTTCTCAGTGATCATCAATAAAGCAATTACCAAGCATCTACTGTGTACTGGCTACAGGACGGAGGGTACAGTGGAGAGGGAAGGCGAGGGGCTAGGCTTTGAAGAGACAAAGAGTTATATTCTATGACTTTGCCCTCACTGCAATATGAACTCTATGAGATCAGAGGTCTCATCTGGAACCTGGAACTTAATAGTCAAAAAGAAAAAGGGCAGGTGATCAAAAAAAAAAAGCAAACCCAAACCCCTTGCTGTTGAGTCTATTCCACCTCATAGCGACTCTGTAGGACAGAGTAGAACTGCCCCATAGGGTTTCCAAGGAGCGGCTGGTGGATTTGAACTGTTGACCTTTTGGTTAACAGCTGTAGCTTGCCGTAGCTCTTAACCACTGCATCACCAGGACTCCACAATCTAGGTGTGGGAGAGGACTATAAATACACATACAGACACACACACACATGCGCACACATACACAGTGTTTCAATTCAGTTGAGACCAGCAGTGCTCAAACTTGGCTAATCCTCAGACTCATTCAGGAAAACTCTTTTGAAATTACAGATTCCTGAGCCCTAGCCTGTGGTTGTAGTTAGTTGCTGTTGAGTCAATTCCAGCTCATGGCAACTCCACGTGTGCAGAGCAGAACTGCTCCATAGTGTTTGCTAGGCTGTGACCTTTCTGAAGCCGGTCGCCAGGCCTGTCTTCTGAGGCACCTCTTGGTGAGTTCAAACGGCTAACATCTGGTTAATAGTAGAGTGCGCCACCCAAGGACTTGGAGCCCCAGTCCAGACCTACTGAATCTGAAAATCGGGGCACGACGTCTTGGAGTCTGGTTTCTCTGTTTTTTGTCTGTGTCTTAGTTTTTAAAGCTCAGCAGGTAATGCTGAAAGCCAGCCACTTTGAGCTCCATTGACTTAGACCATGGACTTGGCAGGCAGCAAGGAGGAAGATGAATCACACCCTATTACAGGCTGTAATATTAATATTAATGCAAGGTATTGTCTTAGTCATCTAGTGCTACTATAACAGAAATACACAAATGGATGGCTTTAACAAACATAATTTATTTTCTCACAGTCTAGTAGGCTAGAAGTCCAAATTCAGGGTGCCAGCTCCAGGGGAAGGCTTTCTCTCTGTTGGCTCTGGAGGAAGGTCCTTGTCATCAATCTTCCCCTGGTCTAGGAGATTCTCAGCACAGGGACCCAGGACCCAAAGGATGCACTCTGCTCCTGGTACTACTTTCTTGATGGTATGAGGTCCTTCCTTCTCTCTGCTCACTTCTCTCTTTTATACCTCAAAAGAGATTGACTCAAGATACAAACTAATCTTCTAGATTGAGTCCCTCCTCTTCAATATCATAAAGGCAGGAATTACAACACATAGGAAAATCACATCAGATGACAAAATGGTGGACAATCACACAATATTGGGAATCATGGCTTAGCCAAGTTGACACACATTTTGTGGGGGCACAACTCAATCCATAACAGTAGTTTATGCTGAGTGCTAAAGGGTGACACAGGTAATGATGTTCCAGGAGTTCAGAGAGTTCAGGCTATAAGGCCTGTTAACCTACCTGAGTTCTTTGTTGAGGAAATATGAATATATGTAAGAAGCATCAATTGCTTATTTAGGGGTTTACATCAATTTAGAATTTAAAAAATGAAGAAATTGTACTCTTTATCAAATCTGGGCTGTAATTTTAAAGAGGAAGATCTGAAATAAGTCTTTGACAAGTTTTCACACAAAAGGCTATTTTTCAAATCCAGTGACCTTAAAATAAGAGGAAACAGCTTACCATGCATAAGAGGGCAGGATACAAAGGGTAAAGATGAATGGGTCCCTCTTTTGGGGTGTTCTTCCCCTCTCCAACAAAGTTGGTCTTAACGCTGTCCAGAAACTTCTCCTAATCTCAAAATGTTAACCAGCTATATACACATAGTATGCTAATGGACCTGGGCTATTAATGATGACGGAGGAAAAGATCAGGGATTTGTGGGTTTTACCCAAACACATCATTGCTGTTGGGTTGATTCCAACTCTTAGTGACAGAGTAGAACTGCTCCATAGGGTTTCCAAGGAGTGGCTGGTGGATTCAAACTGCTGACCATTTGGTTTGCAGATATAGCTCTTAACTACTATGCACCTGGGTTCCAGTGCTAATAATGCCTCATATGCTTGAGAAACCTGGGCAATGAATAAGGAAGACCAAAGAAGAATCGATGCCTTTGAATTACAGTGTTGGCAAAGAATATTGAATAGACTATGGACTGCCAAAAGAATGAACAAAACTTTCTTGGAAGTAGAACAGAAGAGTGCTCCTTAGAATCAAGGATGGTGAGACTTCGTCTCACATACTTTGGACATGTTATCAGGAGGGATCAGTCCCTGGAGAAGGATATCATGCTTGGTGAAGTGAAGGGTCAGCGAAAAAGAGGAAGACCCTCAATGAGATGGATTGACACAGTGGCTGCAACGATGGGCTCAAACATAGCAACGATTGTGAGGATGGTGCAGGACTGGACAGTGTTTTATTCAACCCTCTTGTCCATAGAGTTGCTATAAGTTGGAACTGACTCCACGGCACCTAACAAAAACGACAACCCAAACACAACAGACAGCTGCACTGCAGGTACAAAGACTGACAAGGTGCTGAACAATGTCAGAAGGAAGAGAGAAATGACACCCAGCTTCTGCTCCTACAGCCAAATCCTGGTGGGTGACTCCCCCAGGAACTAAGGATAACTCTAATATTAACAGCTTAAGGAGGAGATTTCCGTATGGGGGCAACAAAACAAAGGGTCAGGTGGAATGCCCCAAGACAGACATCACAATCCTTCAGTCTAGAAAGAACCAAGTGGCAGCAGGAGATGACCTGCTTGCACTGAACTTGTGAGAAGAACACATGGAGTGCACCTAAATTTAGTCAACAAACCATGGAACAACCGTCTTGGCACACAATCCTTGAAAGCAGGAGAGAAAATTCCAAGACAGACCTTAATCTATGGGTGCTAATCCGTGGAGTACAGTCATACAAAAAGTGAGATAGAACAAAAACTAAATAAGAAAGAAAGAAAAGAGAGAGAGAGAAACAAAGAAAATGAAGAATAGGTCCGGAGTTTAGAACAATTCCTGGGAAAGACGATTAAGACTGGCCCCCAAAA